AAATCCATAGAGACAGAAAGGAGATGAGCGGTTGCCAGGGGCTGAGGAGAGGGGATGGGGAGTGACTGCTGATGAGACAGGGTTTCTGTTTGGGATAAAGATGGTCTCAGATTAGTGGCCATGGCTGCACAACCTTGTGATGTGTCGTACATTTTAAAATGGCAAATCTGATGCTATACAAATTCTGTCTCAATTTTTTTTTTTTTTTTTCCAGACGGAGACTCACTCTGACGCCAGGCTGGAGTGCAGTGGCGCGATCTCGGCTCACTGCAACCTCTGCCTCCTGGGTTCAAGAGATTCTCCTGCCTCAGCCTCCTGAGTAGCTGGGACTACAGATGCATGCCACCATGCCCAACTAATTTTTGTATTTTTAGTAGCGACAGGGTTTCACCATGTTGGCCAGAATGGTGTCGATCTCTTGACCTCGTGATCTGCCCGCTTCAGCCTCCCAAAGTGCTGGGATTACAGGTATGAGCCACCACGTCCAGACTCAATTTTTTCAATAGGGGTAGTTGTCCACCATCAGAGCGGGAGGATGAGGGGGGTGCTATAGGGGAAGTGCCCGGCACAAAGTGGGACTCGCTCTTCTCGACATGTCGTCTTAAATCTGGCTCATCTGTCCTTTCACCCAGTGCCTAGAGGATGCCCAGCTCCAGGGACAGGGAAGAGCTTTTGGGATAAGGGGAACTTCCAAGGGGAGGGCTTTTGCCTGGGCTAGGCCTGTCTCTGGCATCCAAACCTGGAGGCACAAGTCCTGAGTCACAGGGCGGCCAGGTGCCCTGATGCCCAAGGCCCACCTGGTGGCACCTGCAGTCCTGGGTCTCAGTGTGATGTCGCCTGTCCTACTCTCAAACCACAGTGGGCCCTCTGTGTCATGTGCCCTAAACCTGTGGATTCAACCAACAGCGGCTGTAAAATACTCAGTAAAGAAAGTGAATAGTTGCATCTATACTGAACCTCTGCAGCCATTTTATCTTGTCGTTATTCCCTAAACAATACAGTATAACACCCATCTACATGGCATCTATATTGTATTTGGTATTATAAGTAATCTAGAGATGACTCTAATTGTACACAAGGATGTGCATCGGTTATATGCAAATGCGAGGCCATCTTGTATCAGACACTCGGACATCCGTGGATTTTGGTATCTGTGGGGGATCCTGGAACCAATCCCCCATGGATACCAAGGGACGACTATAAACGCTCACCCAGAAAGGTTTCTCCTTGGAGGAAGGGCCCAGTTCAGTATGCCCAGGGACATGCTCCCTGGAGCGCTGTCTGTTTATCTGTCCAGTCACCCATCCGCCCATCTCCAGCGCTCTCCCAATTACAGCCCTAGCAAGTGGAGACAAGAAGGCCCAGCTCATATTTCCAGCTCCCGTTTCCAGTTTCGAGGCCTTGGGAAGTTGCTGCCAGGATCGGGGGAGGGATCAACCTCCTCCAGGACCCAGAGGGCATCCCAGCCAGCCTCAGGGTCAGGAAAGGAGCCCAGCCTCTCCAGGAGCCAGACGGGGCCCGCAGCAGGGAGATGGGAGGATGTGGATTGCTTGAGCCTAAGGAGGGGAAGAGGAGAAGGCACTGCGGAGAGGGGTCTCACGCTGTCTTGCAGTTCTCCTGGGGCTGAAGCTGAGTGCGGATCAGCTGGCCCTGGTCTACAGCACGCTGGGGCTCTGCCTATGTGCTGTCCTCTGCTGCTTCCTGGTGACAGTGGCCTGCTTCCTCAAGAAGAGGAGGGGTCCCTGCTCCTGCCAGCCCCGCTCAAGGTCCTGTCAAAATCCGGCCAAGTCGTCCCAGCGTGAGTGCATGAAACTGGGGTCCTCGCCCTTCTCGATGCTTGGGTGACAAGCCTCAGGCCATCCCTCCGTCCTGTCACTGCCCCTGCTTCTAAGTGGAGAGGCCTGGGGCTCATCCCTGTTGTTCAGGCCCGGGGCTCATCCCTGTTACTCGCTGCAGCTTGATAAAATCAGTTTAAGACATCCTGGCAGGCAGATATCCAGGAGAGTGGCACCCGGGAAGGGTGGGTGTGGGATGCCGGCCTTCAGGTTTGCCTGGGCCCAGGGTTCTCAGGATGCGGGGCCTTCAGGGCTAAGCCCAGGAGGAGGTGTCCCCTTGAGGGGGTGTGGCAGGCTTGGTGCTGTACAGAAATGAGAGCCACAACCCAGGGTAGGGACCCACGGGAAGGTGGCAAGATGGCAGGGCTCAGGAGCCTTCCTGGGCAGCACTGACAGCCCAAAATACCAGGGAGGATGCGGGGCCCCGGAAACTCATCCATGGCTGGTGGGAATGCAACAGGGCACAGCCACTTTGTAAGTCAGATGGGCCGTGGCTCACAAAGCTCAGTGGCCTCGTACCACATGTCCCCAAAGTGTCACAGATATTGACCACATTGATTTGAAAATTGACTTGCAAATAAAACCCACATGCCACATTTTACTGCTTGACTGATTGTCGCTCATACCCGGAGGCTGCCCAGATGATCTTCAACATGGGAACTGGGTAGGAAGGGGGTTCCACTCTTCAGACAGAGACAACTCAGTGAGGAAAAGGAGCGAACCCCTGATGCCCGCAGGAACATGGGTGGATCTTAGATGTGTGTTGCTGAGGGAACGAAGCCAGACCCAACAGGCTACCACCACAGGATTCCAATTCATTGGCCATTCTGGAAAAGGGCAAACCATAGAGACAAGAGAACAGGTCAGGATGGCCAGGCACTGACAGAGCCGGGAGACTGCAAAGGGGACACGCTGGGGATGAGGATGAAGGAGCCGCTCCAGGAGGGGCTGCAGTGGTGGACAGGAGGCTCTGCACATTAGTTAAGAACCGTGGAACTGCATGTCCCAAAGACTGGACTTCAATGTGTGCAAAGTGAGAAAAAGGGGAAGAAAAAAATCAACCAGAGTGAAAATGATCACTGATCCGACTGCACCCCTGTGATATTTGCATTGCAAGGAATGTGGGTTTTACTGAAAAAACTCCTAAAAACTCAGGTGTCCTGAGGAGCTCACAGATCTTCTGAACCCAGAATTGTGTTCGTTGTCAGGGTTTGTAGACAAAATGAAACTGACAGCATCCACACAAAACAAAACCCCCTTTTCCCTCTTTTCTAGGCAGCAGGAATTATGTGACATCCTCGTGGCCTATTCTGCATATAACCCTGTGAATATTCCTGGGCAGCGATATTCCTGGGCCCTGTGCCCATATTCACAGGCATGGGTGTCTCCCGGGGGTGTCAGCACTTCTTGAAAATTCAGTGTTCGTGACCCACCAGGATGTAGTAAGGAGGACTCAAGCTCACTTGCTGGCGTGGACACCCAAGCAAGGGGGCGGCGCAAGGGGTCAAACTGAGATGGAAAGGGGTTGAGGCCCAGAATCCTGGTGTCACCTGCACCCGACCACCACGTCTCAGACGAAGAAATGACCTTCCCCTCCTGGTGTTGCCCCGAGGCCCAGGAGCTTGGCAGGGTCGCATGCAGATGGTCCTCACAGGAGACAGGTTTGACCAGTGGCTGAGGTGCCTGATGGGCCAGGCTCTTGTCATGAAATGAGTTTGCATCCTGAGGAAGCCTCTTCTTCACCAGAAAGCTGGAAGGGATCCAATTTCCCCTTTGCCCGAACCCCGTAGGAGCCCAGCAGACAGGGAGGGGGTCACCCAGGTGGTTGCTCCTGCTCAGCCCCCGCTTTCCAGACCATTCCAGGCAGGAAGAGCCACTAAGCCGACTCCATGGGCTGCCCACATTTGTTGTGCACCCAGCTGCTCTCCTGTGCCCAGCAGGCAGCCCCTGGGCCATCACAGGACCCTTTGTGTGGTGGTCAGCACCTTGCCACCTGCCCTCATGGTGGGTGCAGTCCACAGGTGCTACTCCAGGCTTACCACAGTGGCCTCCCCAGCCTGGCCCAGGATAGGGGGCATGAGCAATCCTTGTCTGTGCCCTTTCGGGCCATGTGAGCTCGGGTGCTCGCTGCAGGAATCCCTCCAGGCTCCTTGTCAACTGAGTCATGTGTGACCTGTTCAGTCCTCATTCTGAGTGCCAGGGGGAGAGGTGCAGCCTCTGCACCCCAAATCCCCGGGGACCTGTGGCAGGTGTCCCTGAGGACCTCTGCCATCTCTGGTGACGTGAGTCCTCCCAGGTGGCCTCAGCCCTCCCAGGTGACATCCTTCCATGGTGACTCTGGCTCTTGCAGGAGGTGGGCTACCACAGGGACCCGAGCCGCGTCACCGCCACCCTCCTCCTGTATCTGCTGGAGGAAGATGCTTTCTGGGTGTTGGACAGCTGCTGGACAATCGAGGCACTCCCTGCAGGGTAGGTGGACAGCTGCCCCCGGGCCTCTCACAGCAAGGCCAGGGGACGGCCACCCTGGCCGGTGATTCCCAACTTCCAGGCAAGGTGTCTTCCTTGCATCCCAGCTTGTTTGGAGTCTCCAGGATGTCCCTGCTGAGGTCCCACAGCAGCCTGGGCCTGGACGGGGACCCCCTCACCTCAAGTCAGACGCTTTTCATCCCCTACAGCAGAGGGACCCATACCTCCCCCTGGCCACCCTCTGTCGCCCAAAGCCAGCCCCGACTTTGTGCAGGCGCCACTCACCTCCCTGAGGGTCCTCCTGCCTCCCAGCCACCCGCGCTCCCAGCCACCCGCGCTCCCAGCCACCCTCCCTGCACATGAATGGGCCGACGAAGCCCAGATAGCAATGTCTGCCCATCCCATGTCCCCTAGCCTGACCCCACATCCAGCACCCCAACACCCACCCCCTTCTCCCTGCTGGCACCCACCTGCCTCAGCCCTGCCTCATGGTGTCAGAGGAGGCCTGTCCGCCTGGCACCTCGACCTGGGAAGCCACTGGGCAGCGCTTCCAGCCAGGGCCCTCCTCCTCAGGGCTGAGGCTGTGTGGTGGGATCACTGGATGGTAGAGAGGGAGGCCTTGGGGCCCGGGGTCCCCTGCCACTACCCAGCAATTCCAGCTGACGCCTCCACATCTTGGGCGTGGGCTCTGATGGGGTGATGGGTCGGGGGCTTCTCAGTATTCTACAGCCCAAATATTGCCTGGCTTCGGAGGCGCCTATCGCACCAGGAGCAGGTGCTGCAAAGTCCTTCCCGAAGATCATGAGACGCCTGGTGAGTGAACGACACCCTGGGTCCCATGGGCCAGGGGAGACTCGAGCCCCTCATGGGGCTGGCAAGAGGCCGAGTCCCAGCCACGGCCCGACCTGGGATGGGGATTCTCCATGAATTCGAAGTTGGGTGTCCTTTTCCTGCCCCAGAGGATCCAGAGGCGCTGGGAGCAGGGCTGAGCTCTGGCTAAGCAGGGCTAAGGGAAGTGTGTCCACCAGGCGTCGTGCATGGATGTGTTGGGAGACCCTTGGGCTTTGCCCCCTGAGGGAGGGTCTGCAGAGGGGCCTGGAAGGGAGGATTGCAGGGCAACTCAAGGGGCCCTGAGCACCTGTGCCCTCCCTTTAGGACAAGGAAGGGCTGTGCGTTGATGGTTTCATGCTGGAGTGGCTCCTCCGGTGTTGCACTGATGGGGCAAGGAGGCACAGGGAGACCCCAGCCCATGAACACAGTGCCCAGCTGCCACAGCCCAGGGGTCCAGCTCCACCAGGAGGACTCGGCTCACCCCCAGCCCGTAGGAGGCACAGGCAGGTCCCTGCATGACACACACACCAGGCCCTGCTTGAGAGGGGGCATCCCATGGCAGAGGCCAGGGCTCAGGCCCAGCCTTATGGGCAGACTGGGTCAGGACCCGACTTGGGAGGACCCAAGGAAGCCCAAAGTCCTCAGGAAGCCCCTCCTTCCGGAAGCCACATCACTGCTGAGGTGTGTCCCCCATGAGGAGCTGCAGGACCTGGTCTGACCCAGCTTTATAGGGGGGGTCTCATCCCAGGGAGAGGAGTCCCCAGCACTCCAGGGGACTGAAACCCCAGGGGGCTCTGCTCAGGCCTCCGATCCCAGCCCAGAAAGACAGGTCCTCCCACACTTGCTGTCCTCACAAAATCCTTCGGGCTCACCCTGTAACTGTGGGATGTGCTCGTCTTGGAGGGCGAGCGGGTACTGATGGCCATGGCGCATGCGTCATTCAAAATACACAGGGGTAAGTCCCGTGTGCCCGAGGGTGCCTTGGGGAGCACGAGGCACAGACCCCGGCTGGCCTGAGGGACGTGTCCTTACACTGTTCCTGTGACTCTCTGCTCTGTCTCAAGGAGGGGTCTGGCCTGGTGGGCTGGGCAAGGCATGATGACGCTGAGCCCACCCTGTACATGACCCAGATGAAAGTCAGGAGTGTGGTGAGCACTTCCCTGCCCGGCCTCCCCCAGCGGTGGCCTCCTGTGCACAGCCAGACCCTGGGGTGGCCAAAAAGGACCTGGCATCACCCAGTGGGAGGTGGGCCTGGTGGAAACAGGGAGCAGACACCGATCCCCTGCAGGGAACCCTCCCAGCCTGATGCCCACCCTGTCCCTAGAGTGCCTCATGAAGCTTTGCTAGAGCACCGTCTGGGAGTTTCAGGAGCGACTGTCTCAGAGCTGGGCCCTGGAGGACAACGCGGTCCTCAGGAACCTTCAAACCTCCATGAAGGAACTCAAGGAAACACTGGGACCTGTCACCCCCAGGTGAGCCCCAGCACCAGGTCCCCTCCCGAGTCACCCTCTGGGACAGTCAGTGGTGGGGAGTGCCCTGGCCCCACCAGCCCTCCTACCTGGTCTTCCTCCTGCATCTCTTCCTCCTCTACTCTTTTTATTTGTTTGTTTTTCTGAGACAGAGTCTCGCTCTGTCGCCAGGCTGGAGTGCAGTGAGTCGATCTGGGCTCACTGGAACCTCCGCCTCCCAGGTTCACGCCATTCTCCTGCCTCAGCCTCCCGAGTAGCTGAGACTTCAGGCACACGCCACCACACCCAGCTAATTTTTGTATTTTTAGTAGAGACGGGGTTTCACCATGTTGGCCAGGCTGGTCTCGATCTCTTGACTTTGTGATCCACCCGCCTCGGCCTCCCAAAGTGCTGGGATTACAGGCGTGAGCCACCGCACCGGCCTTCTTCCTCTACTCTAAGGAAATAAAATGGGTCTGCCAGCCCTCAGGGCAGGCACTGAGCGCATGTGTCCTGGCCATGAGGTACAGATTGGCAATGGCTGTGGGCAGGACCCCCGACTTCCTTCCCCCACTTTCCACATTGTCCCCATCGCCCTCTCAAAGGGCCCTGAAGGGCACTGGGACAGTCAGATCCAGGTGTGGGAGCCCCTGCCCCCACCTCCAAGCAGCAGGAACCCCTCATTCTTGAGTGCCCCTCCAAGGGTGTCAAGACAACAAACCAGGTGGACAAGAGAATCAGTGTCCCTGACCCAGAGAGGATTTGGGCAGAGGGCACGGGAGGGGGAAGCCCTGACCCAGAGCCCCAACCAAGAGTTCAGCCGGGCGTGGGATCGATCCAGCCCTGGCATGGGGTGGACGGCCTGGAGGAGAGAGGGAAACCCGTGCCCACTCACTTCCCACCCACTGTGGAGACAGACCCCATGCGAGGTGGCAAGGGGGTGGGTGATAGTGAAGGTCCCTTTCACCTGAGTTCTGACTCGGGGCTGCTGAACAGCCCTGAGATGAGGGCATGAGGCAGGAAGCCCCGAGCCAGCCGGTACCCTGGGGACCATTTCAGGAGCGACTTGAGGTTCCCTGAAAGCTCCCCCACCCCAGGCTGCACAAAGCCCTCACCCTGGGATCAGCAGCCTGCAGGGGCGTCCTCAGTGTCCGGCCAGGGGGTCACACGGGGACCTGGAGGACTCCAGAGGCCCAGGCCTGTGGGGCCCAGCCCTGGAGAGGCCCCATGGGCTCAGTGAAGATGCCAACCATGTCCGTTTTTTCCAGCAGAACTCAAGTGAGCGTCCTCAAGGGCGTCCCCTGGCATTGGGCCCCTATGTGAGGGGGACAGACTGGCTCTCCCCACCCCACCAGCTCAGCTCCAGGGACTCATGCCATCAGTCCCTGCAGGACAAAAGCCTTGTCCTCCCCCAGCTTGGCCTGACTGGGCTATCCTCAAGGCTGAGGCCGAGGCCCAGCAGCACAAGGCGGCTTCACCAGAACCCAGGGCAGCAAGCCACTCTGTGAGGGGCCCAGAGGCTCAAGATGAGGCCAGCCTGTCACCCAGTGAGGTCAGGCCTTGTATATGAAAATGCCTGTGCTGGAACTCTATGCCACAGCGCCCGACAGACCTGGACGTTGGGAGCCCATGGTTCCCCAGCTACAATTTTGAACAGGGCTACTGTGCCCCTGTCACTCCCAACATCTTACCTGGGCAGCTCTGGAACCACAGGCCAGGCCTGGTCCAGCAAACCCCCTGGGACCCTGACACCAGGCCCTGCCTGGGCTTATGACAGAGAGGACGCAGGTCGAGAGACCCCCCAGCAGCAAGGTGGCGCCTGCCTGCAAACCCCCCTCGGTAGAAGAAGAACTTGGAATGGAAGGAGCCCAGACGGTACCCGCCCAGCTGCCTTACAGCCCCAGATGGCTGCTGGACCGTGGTTTTTATTGCTATTTTATTGTTTGGCCTTTGGGCCTTGGGATATCCCATTTAGTGGGGAACTTGGTCCCATCAAGGCCTCTGGAGGGAAGGCTGAGCATGGGGGTCCTGCAGCCCCAGCCAGCCAGCCTCAGGCCAGGGGGCCACACGGGGACCCCTAGGACTCCAGAGGCCCAGGCCTGTGGGTCAGAGCCCATCCCCCAGGTCCTGAGTCCCAGGCCAAGGGGCCTGGCTTCAACTCCAGTCCTAGGAGGACAGGGGCACCGTGGGCCCCCAGGTGACCACGTAGGGGACCAGGACACTGTGAGCCCTGATGCTGTAAGGATTCATATCGGAGAACTTGGGCAAGCCAGGCCAGAGACGCTGAGCCCGTGCAGTGATGAGGATGTGGGGGGCTGGCTCAAGGGGGTCAACAGTTGTGAACACTGCAGCCTCTTCCCGGCCTCATTGCTGCAGTGCAGGCAGTCTGCACCCCGGAGACTGGCCCACCGGTGCCCCGAGTGGCCCAGCTTGCTATGCCAACATGGCACCTGGAGGCTTTGAGGCCCTGCCTGCCACATCACCCCCCTCCTGGAAGCCTTGTCCTGCAGCCTAGCCCCTGCCGCAGCCACAGCAGGGACCACTGCCAAGCGCCTTCCAGCCGGGCTTCCCAGAGGGCAGGGGTGCCCTGCAATCATCACCTCAGCAGCTCACACTGTGAAGATAGTTTCATCTACATTCCCATGTTCCCACCAAAGAGAATTGCTGCAGAGGATGCTCTTGATCCTGAGGTGGGGAAAACGGCACGCCAGGTGGATGGAGTCAGCTCCTTTCCCCAGCCACCACGATTGCTGGATGGACCCGTGGACAAAGTGGCCATCAGACAGACATGGGAGGGAAGAGGCTCAGCATCCTGCTCGTGCCCTGACCAGGTTGACCAGGCCGACACCACTGCCGAGTGCCCCATCTGCTGATGAGAGACTTGGTGTCGATCCCTGTAAGACTTGGTGTCGATGACTGTTTCCCAGGAGGACCGGTTGGCCACCTATGGGCAGGCTGCCCACACTGTGGAGAGGGCTGAGATCGGCCTTCACTGCAGGGAGCCCCTACCTGGACACAGACTCGCCGGCCCTGCCTGTTGCCAATCACAGCAGCCCACAGGGCATTGCTTGCGACCAGGGTACCCTATTCACAGTGAGGGATATGCAGCCGCGGCCCCTGACCAGGGAACTAACTTCTCACTATGTCAGCCGCCACCTGGAAGCAACTGGGCTTACGATCGCGGGTTATGCTTAAGTGGTGAGGTTGTCTTACGAGATGAATGTTATGCTTTCCACTGGAAACCAGTATATGGTGCTGACTTGCCCACAACCAGGTGTAGTTGTGAGAGTGAAGGTGTGAAAGTGGACGATGTTGAGTATTGTACCCAAATGTCTCGAAGTTTTCCTACGCCTGTTCCGGAGAAATGGAGCTTTGCTGGTTGGAAGGTCTGAGGACCCAGGCAGAGTGAAGCTTCCCCCAGGCGACATAACAATGGTTCTATTTAATATGAGGAGACAGAACTAAGTCTGAAACCCGGAGTGTTCTCTGGTGCTCTTGGTGTTTCCATGTAAAGGAAGTCAAATAACTTGCCATAAAGGTTGGCCACAGAAGCATCTGAAAAAGGAGGGGGCAGAACTATTCAGAACTCAGAGGCTTCAGAATTGAAGATGAGGCTGAGCAGGAGACTCCTGACCCGCTGAGGGCAGGGGAAGTATGTGGGGGCGGCTGGGAGAGGATGTCATCGAGGTCCACCATGGCCTCGTGACCTGTCACAGAACCATGCACTTGAATAGCTGTTCACATCTTCTCTCCACTGATGACAGTATTTCTATCCATTTGCTACTCTCCATGCAGGGAGCTTGCTACAAAATGCACATAACCACAGCCTGGGTCTTGTAATCCAAGCCTGGCAAGGATTCAGCATGTCAAGGGCTTCAGGTCTGAAGGTCCATGGCTGTCCTGAATCCAGGATGTCACCCTCCTGCCCAAAAAAGGAGGGACGAGGCTCAAGCAGCAACAGGCCACTCACAGAAAGGGACGAAACGTTGAGTGCATGGCCTTCCTGACACCCAGACAAGTCTTTAGGCACAAAGCCAGGCTGTAGCTCTGGCCACTGACTCAGACCAGCGACGCCCCCATGCAGGCCAGTCTGCCCTGGCTGCTCTTCTCCCTCCTGCCACCCTCTCCTCGGCTGCTTGTGTCAATAAAAGGAAAACCGGCCAGTTTTCAGAGAAAATGTAGCTTTATTATGACAGAAAAGAGACTACAAAGCATTAGGGGAAGAGGAGGAGTCACAGAGCTCCTCAAAATGGGAGGGGAAAGGAAAGAGTAAACATCTTGGTAAATAAAGTCTCCAACCACAGCACAGTCAATTGGAATTTTTTTCTTAATTTTTATTTTCAAACTTACAGTAAACAAAACAATCACTTAAATTGGCAAAAGAACAGCAATTTTACACAATGAAAAGCATACACACCAAGCCAAAATACAATAGCACTCGGGTCTATATGTTGCAGTGGCGCTGGCGCCGGAGGGAACGCCCAGGGAGGTTGCAGTGCTCACCAGGGAGCCCAGGTCCACAGAGGGCCCCGGGGCCGGAGGGAGGCCGCCCACATTCCCAGCACATCCCCTGTCTCAAAGCACTCCCTTCAGGCATCTGAAGAGGGAAAGGCCATGTGGCTTCCTGGGAAGCACTGAAAGGCCAGCCAGCATCTCCGAAACACAGGCCATTTTTAACACTGCTGTGAATGTGTTGGGGTCACCGAGGGGGCCCCTTAGTGGTCAGATGCACTTTGTCACAATTTACACCTACATGGGGCGATTACTAGGCAACGGGAGAACAGGTTTCCTGAATTTCATAGCCAGATGGGGAGCTAAAAGGAGAGATTCCTGAACCCAACATGTAAATATTTTGTTCCGACAAAGTAAATTCACAAGAGCACATCAAACACAAGACCTAATGCAAGGGGCAGTGCCGGGGCCGCTGCCTGCCTCCGGTGAGCAGCTCTTCAGCAGCACGCATGGGGGAACTGCTGAGAACGGCAATGCCACCGTGGAAGAAGGGGGATGAACTTGGATACCAAAGTTTAGAATAATGCCCACCAAGAATGCATGTGACTCCACCTCTCTTCCCAGTTCTAATGTTCTCAGAACAGCAGACACCCCCGAATGCAAGTGGAAAGAGGAAGGGGACCAGGGGTTGGCAGTGGGGAGGGGAGGCAGGGCCTGGCCAAACCCGGGCAGCTGCCAGAAAGGCCCAAGGCCCACACACTGCCTTCTGCATTTCCGCAAGACACCGCAGTAAACCAGGGCGTCCCAAGGTAGCAAGCCTTCAGGGAGGCACTGCCCAGCTCAGAATCCTGTGGGCCAACTTCAGTCAACTCTCCTATTAGATTTGTTCCTGACTAAAAGACTGCTCACAGGCCAGGCGCAGTGGCTCATGCTTGTAATCCCAGCACTTTGGGAGGCTGAGGTGGGTGGATTGCCTGAGGTCAGGAGTTCGAGACCAGCCTGGCCAACATGGTGAAACCCCATCTCTACTAAAAATACAAAAATTAGCCCGACGTGGCGGTGTATGCCTGTAGTCCCAGCTACGTGGGAGGCCGAGGCACGAGAATTGCTTGAACCCAGGAGGTGGAGGTTGCAGTGAGCCGAGACTGCGCCACTGCACTCCAGCCTGGGCAAGAAGAGCAAAACTCCATCTCAAAAAAAAAAAAAGACTGCTCATCCTCAAAAGAGATCTTCAAAGCACTGTCATCGAAACAGCAAAACTTGGTCACAAGGGGCCATTTCTGAAAATCTCAGCCCATCTGTTTCTCTGATAATTCATTTTATAAAGCATGCTTCCACGTGAATTAAATGCAGAAAGACAACAGAAAATGAACTGAGCACGTGGGCAAGAAACTGCATCCCTAAGGCTTCTGCCGCCCATGACGGTTCTGCCGGCTGTGATCGCCAAGTCCTGTGTTCTCGTATTTTCTACATTGAGCAGTGAGTAGCTACTCAGCTGCCACTGTCACCGCCCCCTCCCCAGCCCAGCCAGCTAAGGAGCTGGGTCTGATCCCCACCAGCTTCTCCATGGCCTGTGAGCTAAGAATACGTTTCATGTTTTTATATAGTTAAAAAAAAAAAAATCTAACTTTCTTGACACGGAACATTATATGCAATTCAGATTTCTGTGTCTAAAAGTTGTACTGGACATAGCCACACTTCTGCACTATTTATGGCAGAGACCACATAGCCCACAGAGCCGACAGTGTTGACTCCCTGGCTGTCTATAAAAACATCCGCCCACCCCCGAGACAGATGATCCTGTTCCTGCAGGACTGAAGAAGCCTCAGTTTAAATGCAGCTGGGGCTCCTGGGACAAGCCAGCCTGAGACACAGTTGCTTCATAAACTATGTTTAAGTACTTTGCCTCCCTCTTGCCCCTAGTTTGTAATTTCTCAGTGGACAAATGGACAAACCATCTCTGAATACACAGATACATGCAAAATATCTTACAAGGAACAATGCATATCCTTCTACTTTCTCTTTCAGTTCTGCTGACAAGCTCAATCACGATGTCATTTTACCGCCACCATGCCCGAAAGTACACCAAACGTGAAGCAGAGGCAGACGAGACAAGATGCAGGCTCCACCAGAGGCCACTCCAGATTTGCGACCAACACACTTGGCTGCCAGGCAGTGGTAGCCAGGCAATGGGACAGAAGGCAGACAAAGAAAATATGCGGGAGGGAACCTATCAGACACCGGCAGAGGCTGCATTTACTCCAGCCTGAGATACCAGAGACACAGGATGAGCTGCAGCACGACTCTCCTCCACTGCGCTTACTGCCAGCCCCCAGCAGACACCAAGGCACCCAGAGGAGCCAGGCACACAGGGCGGGCAGCAACATAAACGGCACCGATTAAAAAGCAAGACTCGCACTCAAGACTAAAGGAGAAGTTATCTAAATTTCAGTATAAACTCAGTAATTCATTCACGTTACTAGTATTACATTTATGAAATTCACCTTTGTGGAAAAAGGAGAGGGAGAGGGATAAGAAAATGCCTGTCTTTAGAAAACTGCGAGATGCTTCCACGTGCAGCTTGATGCTAAGTTACCTGCGGAACAGACACGCTTGAAAACGCGACGTAGTATCCTTACTTCCGAAGCTCTGGAGGCTGCTTCACAGCCGCTGAGAAAACGGAGGTGAAGAATTCCATACTCTCCGTATTTTAACACTAAAACATGAACAGAAAGGCATCTGCAAGGCCCTCTGTCCCACATACTACGCTGCTGTGTCTTCAGCTTACTGCTTCAATGGACCCATAATCTTACGGCAGGCAGGGGCCTTTCCACACCGAGTGCTGGGGAATGCCAGGCGGCGGCCACTCCGTGCTGTGAGGCCCCGGTTGCACCCCCATATCATGAGGATACAGGAGATGTTCTGGTGACGGGTGTACGCTGCTCCTCCCACCCAGAGCACACCCCTCATCTCATCCATCTTCAATGCAGCTCCGGGAGCCTCCCCGTCCGTGTGGTCCATCCCGACCCCATGGGTCCCAGGTGCAGACGGGCCACATCTGCATGGGAGGTGGTGTCACCAGGCCGGGGAGGCGGCGGGAGGCGGGAGAGGCAGGGAGGATCACTTTGTGAGGCTTGCGTTGCCTTTGTTTTTCTGACCAGCTACAGATAAGGCTACTCATATTCCAGGAACTGTTTGTGATAGAACAGCAAGTACCTGTGGAGGCAGAGACAGGGAGGAGTTTTCAAGTGGGTCCAGTCCAGATCCACCTCATCGCCCTGAAGGCTGTCCTTAATCCCAGATTCTTCCAAATAAAACCTCTCAAGAGGGCTTCCATGTTGCTCAGAATGTGAAGTGCAAAGCCCTCAGGGAGCTCATGGCAGCTGGGGTCCCCCGACCCCTGGAGGGTCAACAGGTTTCTATGCCATGAAGGAACGAAACTGGAGAGAAGAGAGGAGCTGATAAAGAACTGATGTGGGCCAAGCCCGGTGGCTCACGCCTGTAATCCCCATGCTTTGGGAGGCCGAGGCAGGAGGATTGCCTGAGGTCAGGGGTTTGAAATCAGTTTGGTCAACATGGAGAAACTCCATCTCTACTAAAATACAAAATTAGGCGGGCGTGGTGGCAGGTGCCTATAATCCCAGCTACTTGGGAGGCTGAGGCAGGAGACTGACTTGAACCCAGGAGGCAGAGGTTGCAGTGAGCCAAGATCGCACCATTGCAGTCCAGCCTGGGCCACAAGAGCGAAACTCCGTCTCAAAAAAAAAAAAAAGAAGAACTGATGTGTTCAGTTCATGCGGTTAAAAAACAACTGCTTTGATGTTCTCTGTGCTAAGGAAATGCCTCCAGAGAGGGCCTTTGCACAGGCACCTCTTCTGCCACCATCAAGGCTGGCATCCTATCCAGAACAGGCCTCATTACTTTGGTAAATGAAGGTCAACACCTTTGAGTGGTCCTAGGCTCAGACGTGGGCTGGTCTCAGCTATACCAGAGGGGAGAGCACCGTGGCCACTACAGGGCCTTCCTCCCACCCGACAGGACGCACCCTTCACTGTCCAGCACGTCCTTGATGCTGGCCTTGGTGATGATGGCATCGTCACACTTGAACCACTGGTCTTTGTGCTGCCGGATAAAGCTGGTGTAATGGCCACTCTCCAAGGTCCCTTGATGGTTAACAACAGCAAACAGGGAATACCTAGTGCGGGAGGAAAGGAGAGGGAGGGCGCAGGTGGCTCAACGCCGCCACTCGAGGCCATCACCATCAGAAACCAGGCAGCCCAGGGAAGGAGTGGGAGGCCTGTGGGCCTGGCTGTCAAGCCCCAGGGCCTCCGGCTGATGCACAGGAGGCTGCAGGAACTAAGGGAGCCTGGTCACACTCCCTGGCTCTAGCCTGGGTCCAGGCGCTTCCTGGAACAGCATCTCGTGGGAGTGATGACTGCAGTCAGCAGTGGGGATCCTGGAACACCCCAGCCTTTCATTCTTTCTACCACCCCAAGGCAAGAAGAATGGACATCGAGCTTTCCAGATGGAACCTCCCTCCTGCCAGAGGCCAGGAGTGGGACTGGGCTCCTCCAACAGGAGGCAGCATTTGTGGCGCCGCATGGAGCGGCCTTTCCTAGTGGAGCTGCGGGCAGCCAAGCGGGAAGCAGGTCAGTGGTGGGGGACCTGCGGGGTGCCCTACAGGGCAGACAGGAACCCACCCCAGCTCTTGGCCCGAGGCCTCAGACACCCACACCGCTGAGCACCACTTACTTGTTGTCATTGTTGAGACTGTCCGTGGGCTGCTGGTACTGTCCATTCATCCTGCTCTCTTTGCTGTAACAGACAACAGCAGTATTCAGCATCGTTAAAATC